TTTTAGTTCTCTGCGGACACAACATCTTTGTTGGTATGTGGTGCTGAGGATGGAACCCGGGCTGCACGCATGTCAGGCGAGCGCGCTACTGCTTGAGCCACATCCCCAGCCCAGGAGTGGATGTTTTAAATAGTTTTAAAACTTTTTTAAAAAACGGGGCTGGGGATATAGCTCAGTTGGTAGAGTGTTTGCTTTGCATGCACAAGGCCCTGGGTTCAATCCCCAGCACCACAAAAAAAAAAAAAAAAAAAAAAAGAAAGAAAGAAAAAGAAAACAGATAGAAATAAGTTATCCTTTGTCTTTCCCTTGTATTCCAAGCAGACAAGAAGCAGAGGGCAGCTGCCCTTGGTTTATCCCTTCTCTCTCACCCACAGGCAGCGAGTCCAGCATGCACAGAACTGGAGACAGTGATGATGGACTGGCTTGGAAAGATGCTGCAGCTGCCAGAGGAGTTTTTGGCTGGAACAGCTGGAGAAGGGGGAGGAGTGATCCAGGTAAGACAGGGTAAGGTGGGGAGGACAGCTTGATGGGATTCATGGGTTCCACAATGGCCACAAATGTGGGTGGAAAAGGGGGCACGTGCGCAGCTTTCTGCTGTGTCCTCTTTATTTCTTCCAGAGAATAAACAAAGCTGAGCTCTGAGGAAAATCCAGGTCTTGGAGAAGGCAGGATCTGGATTTGGATCCCAAGCTGTCTGTCACTAGCTTTAGGCAGGACACTGACTTCCCCAGGCTCCCAGTCATGGTTGGTAGCATAGTTGGCTAATACATAGCATAGCGGAGCAGGTGCACAGACATAGAAACAACCAAATTTATGTTGGTTTTTCCATTGCCTAGATCCCGGCAATGTAAGCTCTATCACATAGTCATTCCCAACAGATATATGTTCAGTGTTAATAATCCTTTAATTTTCATAACAGCACAATGAATTAGGGAGCCCTATCTTACAGAAGACGAAACTGAGGCACAGAACATCAGTTAACTTCCCTTTCGCTCCAGGTGGTAATTTATAGGCCATATCTTTGTGACACAGAGACTGTAATCTCACYACCACCACCACCACCACAGGACCCTGTTCCCACCTTAAGTGATAGTTGTGGCTGCATTTCAATGAAGATAAATGTCACTTATCTATGAACCAATTGTTCGCCTAAAGATGCTGCTGTTTCTATGCATACATTTAATTCATTCTCTTCACTTAATATGTATCCTAACTAAACGAGGAGGCAATCTCCAGTACTGAGACTACTCAACAGGACTAGGGGTTTTAAACCCACATCTATTAGGTTTCTATTGCTGCCTAACACACTACCACCCCCCACAACACATGTTAGTGAATTCAAACAAATTTATTATTATCTTGCAGTTCTGCTACTCAGAAGTCTGACCTGGGTCTTATAGGGTAAAATCAAGGTTGACACTTCGAAGGTCCAAGAATCCATTTCCTCACCTTTCCCATCTTTGAGAGACTTCTGRAAATCCTTGTCCCATGCCCACACCTCCATCTGCAAAGCCACTATGCTTCTGCTCTCTAACCTTTCTTTCATGGTCACTTTTTCTTACCACAAATGAGAAAGTGGGTCAAAACACCCATGTGATTGGATTGGGTCCACTCAATAATCTAAGATAATCTCCCCAAGTCAAGGTTCTTAACTTAATCACATCAGCAAAGTCACTTTTCCCTGTGAGGCAAATTGTCACAGGTTTGGGGGGACTGACACCTGAAATCTTTGGGGATGGGAGATACATTATCTCAGTAGCCAGCATGAGCTATGGGAGAACGTGTGCACATAGCAGTTTTCTGGACTATTCAAATTCAACAGGTCTTTGATGGGTGCAGCCCTGTGAATTCTAATTCCTTCTGATGCAAAATGAGCAGGTCACACCAGTGATGGATGGCTTACTTCTCTGTGACCACCTGACCATGGACACGCTCAAAACTGTTCCCTCTGTGAGCTCATCTCACCCCACTCATTCTCTGGTTATCTTACTCTAGCATATATAAGTCATTCTGAATGGGAAGCTGATGAAAATGAAATATTAGCTATATTGTAAGCACTTTGTATTTAAAAGTGAACCCCACTTTTAAATACAACAGTGACAACATTCTTGCAAATTCAAAATACCTCAGCTCCCCAAGACAGGTTTCTTCTTATCAGAGATAATGAGGCCACTCCCATACCTGGTCAAGGTCAAAGAAAAGACACCATGTATGGGCTGGGGTTGTGGCTCAGTGATTCAGTACAGCGCTTGCCTAGCATATGTGAGGCACTGGGTTCGATTCTCAGCCCTGCATATATATCGATAAAATAAAGGTCCATTGACAACCAAGAAAATATTTTAAAAATAATAATAAAAGACATCATGTCACAGGTGCCCTTTGGTCTTGCGGGCAGGCTGCTGCTCCTGGCCCCCACAATGGCTGGTCAGTTTCATTTCCCCGGGGGGGAAGTGCAGACAGGTTTCTCATTTCTGGTATTTGAGTCCTGATTCTCCATAGGATGCTGTTGTCCTCCTTGTCAATAAAGAGCAAGCCTGAGTGTTCAGAGACAGAAAAAAAGGCAGCTATGATCAGGATGGGAGTGGTGCAGAGGAACTGCCCACAGGGGCCCTGGGTTTGGCTCTAGTTGACTCAATCCCCAACTTGTCTCACCCTTCACAACAGGCCTGATGCTGGAGGCAGACTCACTTTTTATTGTATTCCCGTACATTTTGCCAAGATCTACTTTTCCATGAGTTCATTCACTTGGGCCCCTTAGCATTTGGTAACTCCTACTAATCCAAGACTCAACTTACATTAGAAGATTTTTCTTCTAAGGTATCTTAGTTAATGTTTTAAGTCACTTCTACTCTGTTTTTCACATGCTTCAATTTCTACATAGTGGAAAATGCCTCTTTCATAATTTCTGTCTTTAAATAATTTCCTTTGTTTTTGTCATTTTCTTCTGTATATTTTAGGGAGAATTTCTGATGGTTTTCTCTACATCATTCAGTTTTCCACACCACCAAGATTTTGCCTATCTTGGATCTATGATTTCATTTTAAAAAATTATTGTCCCCTTTCTACTTAGAAAGGGGGAAATTAGACATTCATTGTAAAAATAAATGAATACGGTAACCATTTTGGGGCATGATTCCCCTCAGAGTTATTAGTGTTTTTTTAATACCTACATAGCTACACACACACACACACACACACACACAAACAAACAAACATACATTTGCAACAAAATTGAGGTAATACAATACAAATATGCTTTCTGTATGGTTTTCCATTTTTAAAATATTCTCTAAGAATGTTTTTATGCATGATTTCCTATAATGTGACAAAATTCATATAACTAATACCTTATATATATATTTATTTTAATTTTTATTCTTAAAAATAACATTTCAAATGATATCCTACATGGTGAGGTATGATAGTCTTATTGGTTTCCTCTTGGAGGCTCCTAGTTGTGGTCCATGTGAAACATTCATGCCATTCCCAAACTTAAAAGAGCACTACCCCAACAACAAGAGAACTTTTCTGGGCCATTGGATCCTGTTCTTGTTGTTGTTTATTTTTAATTTTTGTGTGTGTGTGTGGTGTTGGCAATCGAACCCAGGGCCTTGCATATACTAGATAAGTGCTTTACCACTGAACTACATCCCCAGCTTCTCAATGGATCTTATAATAAAAACACTTTTATGTTTATATCTTTTCCAGCACCCCAAGATAAGTCTTATGATTTGATACATCTCAAAGAAGTTAAAAATACCCCATAATCTGAAGTGTGTCTACTATAATAATAGCTACATTTATTTAACACCAGCTACAAACTTGGCTRTGTTTTAGCCTATTTCTTATACTTTATGTTATCACTTTTTATCCTCAAAATAATTAGTGGATTGATTGCATTATCAAGAATCTTTTGCATAATTGAGGAAATTGAAGCCCAGAGTGGTAGTGTAGTATGCATGTTCCAAGAGCAAAAGCTATTTAAAGACAAAGCTATTTCGGTGGATCCCTGATCATTTGTTAGGGTTAGTAACCAGAGGTGTACAGGCTATCATGGGTTAAAATATCTTTTTATTAAAGATGATCCCATTTTTGAAGCAAAAAAAGGGGGGAGAGATCCTAACATGTGTTAGGAATAGTTCTGGTATCTCAGCTCAGGCTTCAACACAATCCCCCTGTGCCCATCCCACTCAGTTTTGCTGGAAAAAAGCAGACTGCCAGACCCGTGTTTGTGGCAGGAAGCTTGCCTTTCCCAGATGACAAGGCTGATTGACTGTAATTTGCAAGACCCCAAAGAGCACSGAGGCTTTGGGTAACAGCCGGTGAGCCAGCCTGCCGCATCGATTCCCTAAGAGCTATAATCACAGCTACTGGGCATCTGCACAGTGATGGGCTTCTGAGCCAAGTGGCAAATCATCATTGTGAAGCTGAACAAATGTCACCTGGAAGAATGGTCTCCAAATTAGCTTAAAAGCTCTCACGGAAGAAAAGCTCCCAATTTCTTGCCCCGTATGGGGCGACACTTGAAAAAAAAAACAGAAGATGAAAAGGCAGTTCTGCTCATGACATCAGCAGCCCCAGCATCAGCTCTCGCCACCATTCCCTCCTGTATCCTGAGCAGGCTCACCATGGCAACCGTGGTCTACCRGAAGCAGAGCCATCAGGCACCCTCACTGCTCTCTTACCAAAGAATAGTCGCCCTCCCTACTCTTAACTCAGCAAAGCTCTGCTTCCAGCAAAAGACAGAGATCCACTTGCCTTCCTGCTCAAATTTGCCAAAACCTGCTGGTTGCACTGGACCTGCTGTGGTCTGGATGCCATACCAACAATTGGTTTCATTGAGTGTTGTTGTTGTTTTCATTGTTTTGTTACCTAAAGGAGGAAAATTTTTTTCTCAGGACATGGAAAGTGCCCCCCTCCCAGCCCATGATGAATCAGCATGGTGACTCAAAGCCTTTCATTAGATCAGAGAATGAACATTTGGAATCCAAAGCTTCAAGCAGGGTAGAATTTAGATAAGAAAGTTGCAATCATAGCTCAGTTTAAGGGAAACTGGACTTCCTGGGCCAGCCATTTCATCTTTCTCAGGTGCATTTCTTTCATATGTTCTAAAACCATGTTTAAAATAATTTCTCATCAAAGTTCAGCTTGAAGACCCATTTTAGATGTTGAATTAAGAGGATTCTTTTCTGTATTATTTGAGCTCAAGCATTGGAGCTACAGAAACATGAATAAATGAATTTATCTTCAAATCTTATCCATCTCTCTAAGGGATATAACTTGGTTCAAAGAATAAGTAAAAGCAGTGKAATGGGAAAACCAAAATGGAAAACCAGGCTCCATGAAAGGAGGATAAAATGTTAATAAGAGATGTGGACATTTCTATGTAATTATTCCATTGTATTTTTCTCTGTATAACGCTRTAACTTTGTAAACCTCCTTCATAGTCAGAAAAAAAATCAAAAAAAACTACCTTCTTTTATTTGTCATTTCTAATGTTAGTACTGGCCAGCGGGTGGGTGTCTTCTGGGACTGGCTGAAGAGGAAAGTGCACACAAATGCAGGGAGGCCAGAGCCATCCCTGAAAGGCCAGATGTGTGTCCACTGTTGACCATGCCACTCCCTAGCTACCGATTTGAGGGAAGTTGTGTAATGTCTCTGAGCATCAGTTTCTCCGTCTGTACATGCCAACGTTTAAAAATGAGCTTTTGCAAATTAAATGGGATAACGTCATAGACACTGAATCCATATCATGCACCACTGTTAACTTCAAAGGAGGAATTTTGAATAGTTCTTTACTACTTTTTGCTAAAATAAGTTGTTGAAATTAGTTGTATTAGTTTGTCAGGGTTGCCTTAAAAAAAAAAAAAAAAAAAACCAGAAATTCATTGTCTCAGAGTTCTGGAGGCTGAAAGTCCAAGATCAAGGCAGTATTAACAGGTTCTATTTCTGCTGAGGCCTCTCCTTGGCTTGCACCTGGCTGCCTCCTCGCAGTGTTCACATGGTTTTTCCTGTGTATGTGTRCATGAATCTGTTGGCTAATTTCTTCCTCTTATTGAGATACCAGTCAATTTAGACTAGGGTCCACACTAAAGACCCCCTTTTAACCTAGATCCTATTAAAGATCCTATTTCTAAATAGTTACATTTTGAGATATTGAGGTTTAGGGCTTCAACATATGAATTTGGGGGCAGGGCACAATTCAGCATGTAACATTCGGGATTAAAATAAGTACTATAAGGCCCTCTCGGCATATCAAGGAAAATGTACCTGTATTTTATATACAAATTGCTCTGTCTGAGGGTTTATGAATACATAGGTGCCTGGGACCAGTCTCTTTTGCTGGAGATATGAACAGTACATCCCTGGCCAGGCTTGAGGTGCCCACAGGAGAATGCCTGCACAGCCAGTTTAACAATGCAATGTGTGGCACATGCTTAGTGTTTGCAATTGTTGGCTACTGCTGATACGGGGGATAGACAAAGCAATGCTAAACTCACTATAGGAACTAAAGAGGCCTCCACAGGTGTTAGATTGTGTTAGATTGTTCCTTTGCAAAAAAAAAAAAAAAAAGAGTGAGCTTTGCAATTTCAGGTTTATCTTTTAAGAAAACAATGGATAAAAAGTATGTCTTGCAACGGTTCAGACACTGATTCTTTGACTGCATTTTGAATTTCATTTGGACCTTTCTCCTGGATTTAGGGGAGTGCCAGTGAAGCCACCCTGGTTGCCCTGCTGGCTGCTCGGACAAAAGTGACCCGGAGGCTCCAGGCAGCATCTCCAGAGTTGACGCAGGCCGCCATCATGGAAAAGCTGGTAGCCTACTTCTCYGATCAGGTGAGTAAGTGCGTGTGTCGGGAGGTGTTGGGCTATAGCCCCACAGACATTCAAGGTCTGAATCCAAACAAACTTTACTATCGTTTCAAATCCAAGARCAGTTCCTCACAGATCACTAGGACAGAGACTTATACTAATTCTCAGGTGGGAACTTGAGAGATCAAGTTGAAAAGAAAATATATGTACTGAGAACTCCCCATGGCTGACTTGTTACCATATGTAGCAGCATGGACTTAGATTACACTCAACTGGCCCACCTTCAGAGCAGCATTGTGTAGTAATTGGATATTAGGCTCAACAACCTAATCRCAAATCCCAGTTCTGCTTTTTTAAGCTTTGTGATCTCAGGCAAATCACGTAAATTCTGAGAGCCTCTCTTTCCCTCCTATCAAACAGGGATCAAAGCATCCATCCTTGGTATAGCTGCTCAGCTCAGCTTGTGGCTGAGCATAAGGGGAAAGATTTAAAGAATTTTGTAAGGTTTAGAAAACTCTGGAAATAGAAATATCTAATCTGATTCCATTGGTCAACCCATTTGAAAATGGTAAACAACAGCAACAAAACAAAGCCCAGAATTATGGGGAAAGGAGCAAGTGGAAAGAGAACTGATCAGCATGAAGAGAATAACTCTATTAGAGAAACTAAGGTCAAGCGGGCACAAAAAGAATAAAAACTGTGCCACCTTCAAGAAATTAGATTGCACAGGGAATTGCCRACTTAGGCTTGTCAATATTTTTATTTTCAGTGAATTCCTTAAGCCACACATTTGAACTATAACCATTTTTTCTAGGAAGTACTTAGCCTGAAATAAATACAATACMCATATTTCAGACCTAATTAGGAGGATTATATCTTTGTATCCTAATTCCATCCATTAAGATTCTACTTACATATGAAGAAAATTGTTCATTTGTACTTAGGAATCTCTTGTTTCCCAGAAGACTTAAAAAAAATTAACACATAGGCACTCAATAAGTATATACTGATATCCACTGCTATGAATGTTAGGGTTTAGCCTGTCCAGCARGGCTTCTATGAAGGAGCTTATCTCACCAGGAAGTGGCTGGGTGAGACAGAATAGCATCACTCCAGATGCCCAGCAGCTCAGGATGCCAAGGACGCTATGGCATCTTTCTATGGATCTCTGTTAGGTTCCCCAGGAACTATACAGGGCTTGTGTCCATTTTTTTTTCTTCTCACTGTTTTTATTCTCATTTTCCATTTTGACATTTTGTAATTCTGTGTAAATTAAGTCACCATCACATTTTAAGTATGAGGCCAGCTGAATTAAGAAAACAGAACAAAGAAGCCAGAATAACAATGTTTTTAGAAGGAAACKACAGTACTCATATCCATAAAAGCTAACTTTAATTGAGTAGCTGAAAGGGGAGTTAGAACACAATGCAAACATGGTGGTTCATGGAGAATTCCCATCTCTATTCTGTGCTGCAGTMTCTCATGGGTACATTCATCATTAAGATCTAAATTAGGAATGAAAGTAATAAAACAAATGAGAGACCTAAACTCTAGTTCAAATAAATGAAAAGCTGTGGGCTGAGATCTACTTTGTTCCCCGAGAAAAAGAAAGAATACGAATGAGAATTATTATGAGTTTGGGGGACCCAAAGATCACAAGTCAGCTGTAGGAATGCACTCTGTAGCAGCATATGTTGTTGTATCAACGCCCTCAGCAGAAAGTTCCTGCTTGTGTGGAGGTACTGCTTGGACCAAGCTGGTGTACATCTTCTGCAAAAACTGTGCTGCACGTGAAGCAGGCACATASTCATCTGTGGCCTTGCCTTCCCCCCTTTTTTAAATTCACTTTAGTTTTACATAATATTAGGGTTTATTTTGATATAATTATACAAGCATGAAATATAATTTGCTTTAATTCAGTATGCAGTAATTCCCCTTCCTCATCCCACCTCTCTCCCCCTGCCTTCCCTTTCTCTATGCTACTGATCTTTCTGCTATTTATTTATAGTTTTGTTTTAAACTAGTGCCTTGTAGATATACACAAGGTGAGATTCATTGTGGTATATTCATATATGTACATAGGAAACTCAGGTCAGATTCACAGTTCTTCCCTTATTCATTCCTTCTCCCTACCCCCAACCCCTTTCTCTACTCCACTGATCTCTATTCTATTTGATTGACACTCCCCCTCCCCACCTAGCTTCTGCATATCAGAGAAAACATTCAACCTTTGACCTTCTGGGTCTGGTTTATTTCACTCAGCATTATGGTCTCTCCAGTTCCACCCATTTACCAGCAAATGGCATAATTGTGTTCTTATTTATGTCTGAGTCATATTTCATTATGTATATACAACCCATTTTCTTTCTCCATTCATCTGTTGATGGGTTCCTAGTTTGGTTCCATAGTTTGGCTAATGTGAACTGTGCTGCTATATACATTGATGTGTCTGTGTCCCTATAGTATGCTGATTTGAGATCTCAGGCGTGGAATAGCTAGCTAGGTCATATGGTGGTTTCATTCCTAGTTTTTTGAGGAGTCTCTATACTGCTTTCCAGAGAGGTTGCACTGATTTTTAGTCCCACCAACAATGTATGAGTGCACTCTTTCTCCATGTCCTCTCCAACATTTATATTATTTGTATTCTTGATAATTGCCATTATGACTGGAGTGAGATGAAATCTCAAGATAATTTTTTTTTAATTTTTAAAGAGAGAATTTTAATATTTATTTTTTTTTAGTTTTCGGCGGACACAATATCTTTATTTGTATGTGGTGCTGAGGATCGAACCCAGGCCGCACGCATGCCAGGCGAGTGCGCTACCGCTTGAGCCACATCCCCAGCCCTCTCAATATACTTTTAATTTGCATTTCCCTGATTGCCAGAGATGTTGAACATTTTTTTTATATGTTTACTGGCCATTTGTATTTCTTCCTTTGAAATTTATTCACTGGGCTATTTGGTTTTTTGGTTCTAAGTTTTTTGAGTTCTTTATATTTTCTGGATATGAATATCCTATTGGAGGAGCAAGTGGCAAAGTTGTCTCATTCTGTGGGCCTCCTCTTCACACTCTTTGTTGTGCAGAAGCTTTTTAGTTTAATGCCGTTGAATTTTTATTTTATTTCTTATGCTTTAGAAGTTTTATTAAGGAAGTTGATGCCTGTGCCAATATGTTGGAGCGTTGACCTACATTTTCTTCTATCAATTGCAGAATTTCTGGTCTAATTTCTAGGTCTTTGATCCACTTTTGAGTTGGCTTTTGTGCAGGGTGAGAGATACGGATCCAGTTTTATTCTTCTACATATGGATATACTGTTTTCCTAGTACAATTTTTTTAAAGACTATCTTTTCTCAGAGTATATTTTTGGCACTTTAGTGTAGTATGAGATAACCATATTTACATGGGTTTTTCCCTGTGTCTTCTATTCTTTTCCATTAGTCTTCCTGTCTGTTTGGGGGCCAATACCATGCTGTTTTTGTTACTATAACCCTGTAGTGTAATTTAAGGTATGGTATTATGATGCCTCCAGCATTGCTCTTCTTGCTCAGGATTGCTTTGGTTATACTCTTTTATTCTTCCAACTGAATTTTAGAACTGTTTTTTCTAGTTCTGCAAAGAATGTCATTGGCATTTTGATGGAGGTTGCACTCAATCTGTATAATGCTTTTGGTAATATGTCCACTTTGACAATATTAATTTTGTCTATCCAAGAATATAGATGATGTTTTCATATTCTAAGGTGTTCTTCAATTTATTTCTTCAGTATTCTATAGTTTTCATTGTAGAGGTCTTTCACTTCTTTGTTAGATTAATTCCCAAGTACTTTGCTTTTTGAGGTACAGTTTTCCTAATTTGTTTTTCACCAGATTCACTGGAATATAGGAAAAMAATTGATTTTTGTATGTTGATCTTGTATCCTGCTACTTTACTAAATTCTTTATCAGCTCTAGAAATTTTCTGCTGGAGTTTTTAAAAATATTCTAAATATAAGATTATGTCATCAGCAAGAAGAAAATTTGACCTCATCTTTTCCTATATGTGTTCATTTAATTTCCTTCTTTTGCATGATGGCTCTGGCTAGAGTTTCAAGGAGTCTGTTAAGTAGGAGATATGAGAGTGTATACCCTTGTCTTGTTCCTATATTTAGAGAAAATATTTTCTGGTTTTTCTCCATCTGGTATGAAGTYGGCCTTGGGTTTGTCATATATAGTCTTTACAATGTTGAGGTAAGTTCATTTTATCACTAGTTTCTCTAGTGTTTTAAACATAAATGGATGCTAGACTTTGTCAARTGCTTTTTCTGAATCTTTGAGATAACCATGTGATTATTGTCCTTAACTTCATTTATGTGGTGAATTACATTTATTGATTTTCTCATGTTGAACCAACCATAAAAATCCCTGTGATGAAACCCGCTTGACCATGGTGCACTGTCTTTTCAATGTGTTTTTGTATGTGGTTTGCCAATATTAATAAGAATTTTTGCATCTATGTCCAAAGCATATTAGCCTGTAGTTTTCTTTCCTCAATGCATCTTTGTTTGGTTTTGGTATCAGGATGACACTGGCTACACAAAATGAATTTGGCAGTTTTCTCTCCTTTTCTGTTTCATGGAATAATTTGAGAAGGAATGGTATTAGTTCTTCTTTAAAGGTTAGGTAGAACTTGGCTGAGAATTTGTTGGGTTCTGGGCTTTTCTTTGTTGGAAAACTTTTAAGAGCTGTCTCAATTTCATTACATAATATTGGTCTGCTTAAGTTTTCTATATTCTCATGGTACAATTTGGGTAGGTCATGTGTCTGTGTCTCTAGGAATTTGTTAATACTTCCAGATATTTCTAGCTTATTGGAGTATAATTTTTCAAAATAATTTTTAATGATTCTCTGGATTTCAGGTGATATTTCCCTTTTTATATAATTTTGTTAATTTGAGTCTTCTCTTTCTTTTGGTTAGTTAAGTCTATCAATCTTGTTTATCCTTTCAAAAAATCAACCTTTTGTTTCATTGATCCTGTATAATTTTTTATTCTTCATTTTATTGATTTCAGCTCTGACTTGTAATTATTTTTTATCTTCTACCAATTTGGGTGATAGTTTGTTATTTTCTAGGACCTTGAGGTATAACTAGATTATTCATTTGGTATCTTTCTATTTTTTTTAATGTAGAAACTCAGTGCTATAAACTTTCCTTTTAGAACTGTTTTCACACTGTCSCAGAGATTTTGATATGTTGTATCACTATTTTTTAAGAATTTTTTTTCTATAATATCTTATGATACCCATTTCTTATATGTCCACCGTTTACTGAGGGACWACTCACTGGAGTGAGGACCTAGAGAAGTGAAGTCAAGTAGGGAGAGGAGAAAACAAGGATATGGTCTCTGGGAAACTCTAGATCAGCCTTGTGCATAGGAAATGCTATAGAGTGTGAACTGTTCCCYTTTTGGGCACAGAACTGTTCCCTCCCTGGTCAAGTGCCAACTTTTTGTGCATTGTACAGTTTGTCCTGCAGTGGGTTTGTGGCAAGCTTACCCTGTGAGRAGAGGTGGCTCTCCAAGAGAGGGGACAGCTGATCAGCCAACATCCACTGCAGCTTGGCATGCACAGCTTTGTCAAGGGGAACCTGGAGCATCACACAGGAGGCAGGAGCACATGCAAAGAACTCTCTCTTAGGGACAACTTAAACTCCTGTTGTCATACTCCTCTCCACTGCCCACACATCCTCCTGTGACTGCYTGCCTCCCATTGTCTCCTCCTAAGTTTAGTCTGCATTGCAGGCCAGCACACACCCCAGAAAGCTTGGGGTCAAGGTTTTGTCATAAGTTAATAAATTCATCACCTCCCTCATCCTCTAAAGGGTAGAATGATGCACAAAGATTATGAAAAGTACCACTTCCTAATGTGTCACAAGTTTCACAGGTGATTTTTCAAGCCTAGTAAAAGAAGAAGAATCTTAGTTTAATTTTTCTATGCAAGAAACCTGCCTGACACACGTGGTTGTTGTTGTTCACAACTATACTTTGAAGTGRGTATTTTCTGTTTCTCATTGTTTCCACAAGATCACAGAGGGTCACTGTGCAGAGTAACCTGGCAAGGGTCCCACCAGAAAGGTCTGGAGCTGGGAGCCCCAGGGGCTCAGAAGCTGAACATTTTCTTCTGGATCTCCTCTGCTGGCAGAGGTGTTCAAAGAACAGCCAGGGAGCAGCAGGCCCCACAAAGGATCAAAGCTAGAGACAAWGGGGGCTTCAGGGCAGAAGGTGGCAGCTTCAGTAAGAATCCACTTTCCTGGGAATCTCTGAGAAGGGTGGACCTACCATCCAGTGACAGTGCCACATCATTTGCCATTCATCTCAGAAGATTCCATGTCCATGGATTCAACAAYCACAGATGAAAAATATTTTTWAAAAATTGTGTCTGGATTGAACATTTATGGACATTTTTTCTTGTTATTATTCCCTAARTGATACAGTATGACAACTATTTATATAGCATACCATTTGTATTTGCATTAGGTATTATAAGTAATCCAGAGATGATTTAAAATATATGGGAAGATATAAATTGATCATATGCAGATACTATACCATTGCCATTTTATATAARGACTTGGGCTTCTGTGGATTTTTGTATCCACAGAAGCCCTGGAACCAGTTTCTCATGGATGCCAATGAGTGACTGTAGCATCTATTGACTGAGCTTAGCCACCAAGCTGCAAAAGTCTCCACAGGGAAAGGCAGGGTTTGAATCTGAACCCAGGATTTCTAAGTCCACCCATGAGCGTGCTTTCCAGGATCTCACTGCTAACTCTTGAGTTCAAACAAATGAATGAACTCATCACTTATGGTTCTAAGTGCTTAATTCATTATATTTGTGGTTTAGATCTGAGGTGTCCTCTGAAACCTCACATGAGAGACAATGCAAGAACATTCAGATGTGAAATGATTAGATTATGAGAGGTATAACCTAATTGGTGAATKAATCTACTGATAAGAATCAACCAGGTGGTAACTATAGGCAGGTAAGTTGTGACTAGAAGGAAGTAGGTCACTGGGGTGTGACTTTGGAGTTTATCTTTTGTCCTTGTGAGTGGAGCTCTCTCTCTTCTTCTTTATCACCACATCCTGAGCTGCTTCCCTTTGCCATGCTTTTGCTCCATGATGTTCTGCCTCACTTTAGTTTCAGAGCTATGGAGTCAGCCAACCATGGACTGAACCTCTGAAACCATGAGCCAAAATCAACTTCTTCTGCTTTCATTTGTTCTTGTGGGGTATTTTGGTCACAGCAAAGAAAAAAAAAAGTAACTAAAACAAAAAAGGTTCTACATAAATAGAATAACAACTCCAGGAAAAAGAGGTGCCACTGTGGTGTCAGGTGTCAGGTACCCACTGCAGAACCAGGAACTTTGCCTGTGTGAGCAAACCTGCACCAATCTAACTCTAATCTTTCTTTCTAGGCACACTCCTCTGTGGAAAGAGCTGGATTAATTGGTGGAGTGCAAATGAAAGCAATCCCTTCTGATGGCAAATTTGCCATGCGTGCTTCTGCCCTGCAGGAGGCCCTGGAACAAGACAAGGCAGCTGGCCTGATTCCATTCTTAGTAAGTCTGTCAGTACATGTTGCMGATAGTACCATGGGAGCCTCTCCCCAATGCCTAGGGCGTGTGTGTGTGTGGGGGGGGRGCGGTGTGTGTATGCAGTGTGTATGCCAGGGTCACTTTCTAGGCTGCTGTGATAGTCACGGGCCAGGCATGAATTTTGTTATCTCCTTGAGGAAAGCTAGAAACTCCACTTGTTTTTTTTTTTTTTTTCTTTCCACATGCTTTAATCTCAAAAACAAGTTACTACAACATCCCAATTTGGAGGATTGTACTAAGCCAAGGAGTATAGTTTCTGTTTGTTGTCCAAAGGGACAGCTATCCCTTAACAGCCCTTTGTGCCATGGTAGATGCTCTAAGCAGTATGATGAGTGAACCAAACTGAAAATAAAAAAAACAGGCTTTGTTTCATACATTAGTGGTTCAGAGTAGTTAATAAGATGTGTCATCTGTAAAAGGTTTGTTGCAAGCAGGCAGTGACTAATCGCAGATAAAATATCTAATTAACCAAATGACAGGCTGGTTCTCTTGCTCCCAGATATGCATTTTCCAATGGGGAAGAGTTACTTAGTATTGAAACTGAATTGTGGGAATTGTCACATTCCTGGCATGGTCCCAGCAGTATGTCATACATGGGAGTGATACATCTTGTGTGATGCAATCAAAATGTCGTGAGTATGGCCATACTTGGGCATTCAACCTGGCCACACATTAGAGTCACCTGGTAAGTTACTAAAAAGTCTAATGCCCAGGAATTCCCCCTGTCTGATCTTGCCAGAATCTCTAGGGATGGAAGCAGGCATTGGAAAAAAATTTTACAACATTAAGATTCTGATGAGCATATAGGTTTTAGAAACATGCTCATGGGGATACTCCTCAGTGTCGGGATACTCCTCATTTCTTAATCATTAGAGCAATCTATGTTGGATAGATGTTTTATGGGCCACACATTAATAACATCCACCACTTTTCTTTTGAGAATTAATCTTTTTAAATGCTTTCCTTTCTCTGAAACGTTTTTTGCCAATTAAAATCAATAATCATTTGGTGAATATCTAACACACGTCTGTACTGAGGAAGTCACAGAAAGTATGATTTTAATATAAGACTATCCTAATCTAAGGAGCTCACAGGAGAATAAGGAGCATAAACACATATTTATAGTAGAAGAATTGGCAAGTTTCAAAGGTAGCCCAGAGAATGAAATGACAATCAAGTGAGTTTGAAGGAGTAAAAAATCAAACTGTGGGCACAGATTCAACTTCCACCTTGCCAATCATCTTTCTCAGTCCCCTTAACCCTGCTTGATTTTTCCCCATTGCATTTATCACTCCCTGCAATACCCATTTATTTACTGCCTTCTTCCCAACAGAATGTACACGAAGGGAGGGTTCATTTTGATCACTGCTTTATCTTCACTGCAGGAATAGTACAGAACTGACACCAGGAGAAATTCAGTTAATACAGTTGTTCCTTATACACAGGACATCTGCTCTAGGACCCATCACAGATACCCAAACTCTTGGATGCTCAAGTCCCTTATATAAAATGACATAGTATTTGCATATAACCCATATACATCCTCCCACATACTATTTTTTTAAAAAAACATTTATTTTTTAGTTGTAGGTAGACACAATACCTTTATTCCATTTTTATATGGTGCTGAGTGTGTAACCCAGCAGCCCATGCATGCTAGGCTCTCCCTCTGAGCCACAACCCCAGCCCCATCCTTCCACATACTTTAAATCATCAGTAGATTACTTGTCCTACCTAATGGAAATGATGTAAGTAGTTTTTTAGGGAACTATGACAAGAAAAGAAAGTGTGTGTTCAGTACATTAAAAAAACAAAAACAACAACAACAGAAACACATTTTAGAACCATGTTTGGTTGAATCCATGATTGTGGAATCCATGGATATGGAGGGTCAACTCTAGTTGTCAAATATAGAAAGATTTGAAAAGATCATCTTTAAAAATCCCAATTATAAACCGGGCACAGTGGTGCATGCCTGTAATCCCAGCCATTCAGGAGGCTGAAGGAGGAGGATTGCAAGTTCAAAGCCAGCCTCAGCAATAAGCAAGGGGCTAAGCAACTCAGTGAGACCCTGCCTCGAAATAAAATACAAACAGGACTGCGGATGTGGCTTAGTGGTCAAGTGCCCTGAGTTCAATCCTTCATACTCCACTCCCCAAAAATCCCAATTATAGCTGGGTGTGGTGACGCATACCTGTAAACCCAGTAGCTTGGGAGGCTGAGACAGGAGAATCCCAAGTTCAAAGCCAGCCTCAGCAACATCGAGGCACTAAGTGACTCAGTGAGACCCTGTCACTAAATAAAATACAAAAAAAAAAAAAAAAGGGCTGGGGATGTGGCTCAGTGGTTGAGTGCCCCTGAATTCAATACCTGATACCAAAAATAAATAAATAGATAAATAAATAAATAAATAAATCCCAATTACAAGTTTAGTGCACTTTTGAAGGATTTTATTTAAATGAAGTAAAATATTTTTAAACCTGTAGTGTCAATTTTAAGTCACTGAAATTTTGTATCTAGGGAAAATATATATATTGAAACATACTCCTTCATATTTGAAGAATGAAAGCAATGGAGAATACATCACATAAATGATGAAAATATTTTATGAAAATTACAAAGCTCATAACTAATAGTAAAAGACAAATGTGGGTAGGAACTACTGATAGGACATATTATAAAGTAAGTCTTAAAATAAAAAGAAGGCTTACATATCAATAAGTAAGGAAGCAACATTTCAATGATAAAAATGCAAAATATATATAAGAAATCAGTTCCACATTCAAACACACACACACACACACACAAATATAGACACAAAACCAATTCTGATCATGCAATAATCAAAGAAATGCAAATTAATTAGTGAGAGAGGTATGTGACAATAATCCCACACTGTGGTTACAGAGGTGTCAGTTTCTTTTATATCTCTAAACTTTACACAAATTCTGAAGGTCAGTGATGGGGTATATGCAGATTTAGAATCGTCATCTTCTCCTGAGAAATGACTATCTATTCTTAGGAAAGACTAACATCTAGCTATCTGGATGGATATACATGTTCAATTCTCTGGGATGAATGCCCAAGATTGTGCAATTAAGGATCATTTTGTAGTTATGTGTTTTAAAGAAACTGATAAAATCTTTACTGGAATGGCTGTACCATTTCACATTTCTTCTAGCAGTACCTAAAACAATCAAGTGTATGGTATTATTTTCACCCGTGTTTGGTATTATCATTATATTTTTTCGTCTTACCTGAATTAATAGGTGTATAGTAATATCTCATCACACTCATAATTTTCATTTTCCTAAAGACTAATGAAGTTGAACATCATATGCTTATTAACCATTAACACATCCTTTTTTAGTAAAACATAAATCTATGTCTTTGTCCACATTCCAACTGGATGATGGATTGATTTTTTAAATTAACAGATTTATGTTAGAACAGTTTTAGAACAGTAAGCATAATTAAAGAGAGTTCCAGCACTTACTTAAATGTTTTACAAATACTTCCTCTCAATCTGTGGCTTTTGGTTTCATTTTCCGAGCAATGGTCTTTTGCCAGTCAAAAATTTTCAATTTCACTGATGTTCAGTTTATCAAATTCTTTCATGGATTATGCCTTTATTGTTATGTCTAAAAACTTACTGCTGAACCCAAGATCATCTAGATTTTTCTCCTGTGCTATCTTCTAGACATTTTGCATTCTATAATTTAAGTCTACTATGTATTTTCAGTTAATTTTTGTGAAAGGTGTAAAGTCTGTGTCTAAATTCTTTTCTCTTTTTTTCTGCATTGGGATGTCTAGCTGTTCCAGCATCTGTTGAAAGGCTACTCTTCCTCCACTAAATTGCTTTTGCTCCTTTGTCAAATGTTCTACACATGAGGATGTGTAGATCTAATTCTGTTCCGTTAATAAGTTTATCTCCTTTGCCAAGATCGCACTGTTTTGATTATTTAAGGTTTATACTAAAGTTGGGTAAAGTCAGATATGACCTCAGTCATTAGTCAATATTATGGTCAATATTATGTTTTTTTAGTTTTTTGAATTTTTATATAAAATTTAGAATCAATTTGCCAATGTGTACCACATAACTCACTGTATTATTAAATATGATTGCAATGAATCTATAGATCTAGTTGGAAGAGCTACCATCTTCATGATATTGAGACTTCCTGTCCATATACATAGAATCTTTCTGTATTTATTTATCTCCTTTAAAAAGTAGTTGCATCAGAGTTTGTAGTTTTCTTCATGAATATTGTATACATATTTTGGTAGATTTATATGTATTCCTTTTCCCCCTTTCTATGCTAAATGTAAAGGGAATTATGGCTTTTTAACTTCAAATTCTATTTTTTAATTTTTTTTTTTTAGTTGTAGATGGACAAAGTGCTTTTATTTATTTGTTTGTTTGTTTGTTTGTTTTTATGTGATGCTGAGGATCTAATCTAGTTCCTTACATTTGCTAGGCACGTACTCTACCACTGAACTATAACTCAGCCCTCAAATTCCATTTCTTATGCTAAAACATAAGAAATAAATTAATTTTTATCTATTGTGTGTTTATCTTCCTATAATTGCTCGTTAGTTCCCAGAGGACTTGCCTTTGGTTTATTCTTTGGTATTTCTACATTGACAGCCATGTCATAAAGATCTGTCTTTTATTGTTTAGTCATAGTCATATCACACTAGCTAGATATATAATGTTAAAAAAGGTGTTGAGAACAAATATCCTTCCCTGATTTCTAATCTTAGACAAAAAACATGTAGTTTCTCATCTTAAAGTATGTTAGCAGTGGTTGTTTTTGTTTTTGTTTTCTGATGTCAGTTATCAAGTAAGTTCCACTATAATCCTAGTTTGCTAAGAGATTTTTTTTTTTCGGTGTATTTGTTTGTTGTAAATCATGAATGGATGCTGGATTTTGTCAAATGGTTTTTGTGTCTCTATTTATTTA